AATCCTTTCCAGCTCCCTGATGATGTAGTCGTTTGGTGACAGTTTTCCTGTGCTCGACTGTTCGGTTCGGTTGTCTCTCCTCATCATCTGTTTCTCGTGTTTACGGGCGTACATTGGTTTCTGCTGTCTCCAGAAGTCGGTTCTGGTGTCTAGATAGTTAAGGCCCTGGGAAACCAGCCCAGAAATGGTCTTACCCACAGGAGTATTGGGATCTGAGGACATCAAATTGTTATTGTAATCAAATTTTATTTGTTATTAAAATTAAAAATGTCAGACAAAACATTTCCTATTTATAGGTGCAAAAGACTGCATCAGAAGGTTCTATTCCAATATTTTCTTAAATGTTCTTTAACATTCTAGTTTCCTTTCGTCAAAGAACTGTACATTCCAAGATTTCATTTTTTTAAAATTTCATTGAAAAGTCCCTTGATTTAGTTTTATATAATCTGTCACCTGTTTCTTTGAGTAGTTTCTCTAGGTACTGTCTGTCTCCATACAGCTCCCCCAGTAGTTGTTTGATCGTCTTCTCATTCCCGGCAGGGCGGCTGATCTCCAGCTTCTTCTGGGTCTGCATGCCAGGACGGCCATATGTGTTGTAGGTGGGCTTCTTTATCTTTTTCTAAATTGATTACAAAATACCATTTGATATATAGTGTTTTCTTTTCAATTAAGACATCAATTAAGTTGAAATATTCCATCTAACTTCCAAATATAGTTGCAAAAGGGCACAATAACAAGATGTTTAGTACATTCTTTGCTGGTTTAGAGGCCGCTGGATGCATGGCATCAAGAGATTTCAATACTTTTCAAAACTGTTCATGCAAATGTACAAGTATGTTTAAAGAAAAGAAGTTGACTGAAGTAATGACTATTGCTTACATCATCTTGCTTTGCAAAGAATGATAAATCCCCTTCAGTTGTCAACTGCACTTTGTCTGGGGCTAAAAAAAAAGAAAGAAAGTTTGGAGTAAAACTAAGTAGAAAACAATATTACTCACAAAATATACAGTCTTAATTATAAAGCCAGGTAATAGATCCAAATATATTTCACAAGGTGCTGGGAACAACTGTATTGGCTGATGTCAACCACTTTATAACTCTTGAAATAGGATTCTCTCAGAGATGAAATACCTCCAACTGAATTATCAATGGCCTCCTGTGCCTTCTGTATACCCAGCCTGAATTCTTGTAGCTCTGGTCTGAGTTTATGTCCCCTGTGATAGAAGACAAGGGACATCTCAAAATCTCCCTGGTAGTATAGGGCCTGGGCTTTCTGGTAAACTCCCTGGAAAAAAACATTGTCAGGATGCATAAAGTATAGAACAGCTACAATAATTTTGTTGGCAAAAATATAATCATATGATTCATGAAAATACAATGTATAATTGCTCATAAAATACTTTAATTTTTGCTGTAGACTTTATGAAAAATATCATCTACTGATATGTTTTTATATAAAGGGAGATCACTCTATCCATGAACTCTGTACCTTGTGGAAAGTTTTATCCTCCGATAATGAGGCCTCTGCATCGACCAAGGCATTTTGTGTGTCCCCCAGCTGTAGGTAACATTTGGACCGACAGACCAGACAGTTCTTGTCTCCAGGCTGTAACTCTAAAGCCTGAAATAATGAAGACAGCTAGAAATTAGCATTAAGTGTTTGAAAAAAATTCTCTCAAGTGTAAACTTTATCTGTAAGTACATTTCTCAGTAATCATTTATTTCAACAAATTGATATTTTGTGTGTATGTGCTACAATTAACAATTCCTTATTTAGAAACATCAATCATATGCATGCATACTGTATAAAGTGCAATCTAAACATCTTAATTTATTTTCAAATAGTACTAGTACTAAAATATCGCTTAGATAATTGAATACAAGAAAAAAAATGCAAAAAAATACATTTCTTAAATATAAAATTATAAATATGTAGATCTATATTATATTTCTAATAATAAAGCTATATAATATACTTTGAGACAATTTCTAATTCTATAGCAGTATATAGGACATGAAAATAGCGACTCATGCCGACTGCATTTTCATTAATAACCCCTCGAAAGATCCCATCGTGTTATGCATATAAATTATAAACGGGTGTCAGTTTTGAAATTGAATACTTACGATTGTGTAGCTATCTATAGATTTCTTGTATTCTCCCTGCTTAAAAAGTGAATCTGCTTCTGCTTTGTATATTTCAAAAGTTCCTTTAGGGCCCTCAGATTCATCGCCGTCGTACATTTTGTTCACGTTACAGCTTTCACCAACCTTCTCTCAACACCAATGTAAACTTCCGGTGAAAGTTACCTTAGCAACTGTGCACGCGCTGAATCCCTCGAATTCCGGCGCGCTCTCCAACTTTTTTTTTGCGTCTCTCTTATCTTTCGTATGATTTCCTTTCAAAATTTTCAGTACGCATATGTTTCTAGTTTAGGTAAAAGTTTGGATGAAATCGAATATATCTTAGTGTCTTTGCTTGATTAATCGTGTATTTTTCTTATTTTAACATGTCATACGCAGATTTTAATGAGGGGATTAAGAAAACAAAATAATTCCTCAACGACGTGATTATGTTTGGTGATTAGCCGCTTTATAATCCGCCGAGATCTGCCGCTATACATTTAAATATAAAATCTGCTGTCGTTACGGTGTTTTAAATAAATAGTTAAATGTACAAAATATCTATTTATACTAATTACACTTTCATTGCAGAATTTTATTTTAATTTTTTTTAGTTTTGTAATAATTTTATGTATAACTTTCAAGATGGGAAATGTTATATACATGTACATATATATTCACTTGCATGCTCCCTCTTTCAACATGCGATCAGGGTTATTTTTAAAAAAAAATGTTTTGTTTTTTTTTTCAAATCATGTAGGTAAGTTACTATATAGTAATTTACACACTTTTCCTTTCCCGCAAACAAGAAAAAATGAAATCCTGGATTGTTAAATATATTCGTATATAAATTCCGTATATTAAATAACGTTCTTGTTGATGAGAAGATGAGTACCTGAAATTTAGTAGAAAAACAGAGGTAATGTGTTGGGATTCTTTGCAAAATTTCAATCCTCGGCTGACTCCGCTACGCTCCATACAAACTTTTCAGATTCAAAATTTCAGATGTTACATATTGACCCCCTATCGTGATCTTTGCAATTATGAATTTAAGTAGAAGTGCTTCTGTTCTTTATCTAGAAAACAAAACAATTTGTAATAAATTTGTAACGAACAACTTCGATCCCTTATTGTCACTCAGACATAATCCAAAATCCACGATCTGTCTTAACGTGAAACAGCATTAGATGGGAATACATGTACATTGAATTTGATCATGCACATGAAGACTTCCGTGGTGTTTTGGGGAAAAGGGTGGGGTCATATATTTAAATTTCGATCCACTTCCGTGTTCCTTCCTTCAATTGAACGCATGGAAGATTCTTAATCGAAAACCCCCATAAAGCATTGACTTTTACTGTGGCCCACCCAGGCCAAAATGTCATATAATTTGAAAAAGCTACAGTCTACTAGTATTCTATATGTATAATCTTTATTTTTCAAACCGGAGAGATTATTAACTAATTCAGCCCTCGCAAGGAGAAGCTTTTTTTTGAATTGTGAGAATAATTTTTTCGGCTAGGATTAATTGATATACATGCACATGTATAAAATGTTCACATTTGCCCCCGTAGGAAAGGTTCCTAACAACTTTTTGAAGCATTGATTGATTAAGGCTCGTAACAGAGTTAAAGGGGATATAGAAACCAGTTTGTCAATGTGTGTGTGTGTTAGTTTGTCCTTGTGCAAAACAGAAGTGACGTAATTTGCATTGGGATCGATGTTGAATGCTGCCTTTGCAAGGGGATGCTCCGCTTTGCGGTGCTGTTGATAGGTTAGTCTATGTCATACACTGTCCATCTGCTCTGTCCATCAATCAGAGGCGAGCTTCCGCACCACCGACAGGTTAGATCCACCCATTCAACAAACACAGAGAACTCGGGAATCACAGATACAGTCTCATTGGTGGCGAATTCTTGGTCAGCTATAACATTTTTTAGCTTTCCTTTGTAAATTTCTGTTGCTATGAAAGCTACAGCTCGTTTTCGTAAGGTGAGAATGTCTAAATTGAACGATTTCATCTCTGGGTAGGTTGTTAAAGCTACATCTGTGTCACAATGGATAATAGCTTTTATGAGGAACCGCGCAGCGCATGCTGGGACAGTCCTCAGAATGCTGCAGTTTCCACGTTGTCTTATGTACATTAAAGTGGAAATGCTTAAATTTGATAAATATCTGACTGCCTGAAGCCTCAAAGTCAAGTATGCAATAAAATAAACGTCAGACAAGAGCAGGGAACGATCCTTAGGATCTACTGGCGCCGCAAGTTTTGCAAACAGTACGGAGTAACTAAGATCTAAAACGGACGGAATCCTTTGCCCATCAGTGTGACGTAGGAGTTCCCCAATTATGTCAACTTTCATGATGCCTAGTTTATTTCTAAGATCTAAAATCCTTGATTGTTCTATGTGCTGGATCATATTTCTACTGGGCACAAAATAGTTCGGTATACACCTATCATCTAGAAAGGCCTCTAGTCTGGTGACAAGCTCTTTTATGCATTGGAACAAATTTTCTGAAGTCCATATTTCCAAAGGAATTTTTTCCAATGTCCAAAATAAAACGTTCTTTAACATGTACGATGTTAAGAACGAATCATCATCGTTACATAAATTCAGTTTGCAAAGAGCTTTAAAGAAGACGTAGGCCTTGATCTGGGTTATGGTAAGGCTTAAAAGTAGAATTCTCTCACTTATTGCAAAAGAGATCCGCCATTCTAAATGAGCCTCAGAACTTAATGGATGCCCTACAGGAACAAATCCACAGCCTTGCTTTGTTGCTTTCTGGATCAGTACAGCTGAGGGCCAGCCAGATGCTCTAGGACGGGTCAGAATTTCCGATGCCACGGAGGGCCAAGAACGCATGGACATACCAATGACGTAATCCAGAGAATGTACGCCTAGCTCGTCCTCAATAGCGCCGTGTAGAGCAGGGCCGTCTGTCTTGTTGGTCAAGTACATCGCAAATTTTGAACTTTTTATCGCTGTATCAAGTTTTCCTCTTAAAACCATTGGCAATAAATATTCCTCAGACTCATCTTGCTCTTTGGGATGTTCGGTTACCACACGCATTTTGACGTAACCGGGAAAAGTGTTTTCTAACAAAAAGATCGTCCCATGCTGGCCTCCAGTTTCACGATTCTCTGTAACCGTGACCCCTGTGAACTCAAACACCACATCTACGTCAGTTTCGTTGATTTGACACCCGTCATCAATCAACGGGAATGTCCTCTCCAAATAAAGTCCATCGTGAGAGCTTCCCAACATAACGATGTTCGATATCCACAACTTTTCAGCTATTTTTAGACGGGGTCACGTGACCCCGTCTATTAGTTTACTGTCAGAGCCCTCAAAACGGAAGCCGTGGTGATAACACATGAATTAAATCTACGCTATATCAAAGAGTGCAGAAATAGTTTTGATCAAAATATAAACATTCTGTATCAAACTGAAGGAAGGGATATAACCTTTTTTCTAAATCAAATTGTTGAAGCATTCTGTAAATGTAAACTCAAAATATTAATTGTAAAACACACTAGTAAACAAAGTACTCTTCTGCGTAGTATTACGACTGCGTACGCATCATTCATTGTTTACTTCTGGAAAAATATTAATTCGGACCAGGTGAAATTCGGACAGTTCAAAAAGGTTTCAAGACAAAGCAAATGCCAATTATTGAAATTCCTACCTCAAATTAAATGAAAAACGCAAATATATATTATTCACAGTTTTGTTTTTAGTATGTTTATTAAAAAAAACTATCAAAACTCGTTAAAAAAATCTGGCATGAAAATATTTTGACCTCGTCTTTCAGTACTGTCTCAGTACTTTGATTTGTTTTGGGGCGTAGCGGGCGATAGGTTCCCGAGTGTAGAGAACTTCAGCGCGGGAAGCTGTGGATAATTCCGGTAGATAGTCAATGAACCAGTCCTGTTCCCTTTTGTCGGCTGCCAACATTCTGATATCATAAAAAGCATCTTGGTCAAGTACAATGCAGCTCAATATTTCATTTTCCATCTTAGTCATCCGTGCCTACAATTAAAAAAATGTTTTTTGAAACACTGATGTCCCCATATAGCAGCTTTTGGCGAAAGTTATACTAAAGTTTCGTAAATATAAGTCAAAATAAAAGGTCAAGATATCAAAAAAAAATGTACTCAAAGAAAGGATTTGTCCATAAATAAACTTGTGAAATACGCATGCCCAAGCACATATCATTGGCGTCGGAACAGGCCGGGGGGGGGGGGGGGCTAGGGGGGCTTACCCCCCCCCCCCACTTTTTTTTCAAAGACAGACATAATCTAGGCATTGTAAATTATGGCTTACCTATTTTTGGTGGTTTAGCCCCCCTTTCAATTTGCTTCCGATGCCTATGCATGCATATATGACTAAGGTTAATGAAGTTTATTTTAAATATTGGTCAAACTCCAACGTTGAATGGTCAAACTAAAGACACCTAGGGGTGGGGGTACATAAATTAAAGATAAAGTTGTGATCAAGGTTAGATTTTTTCGAAAGTAAGTAAAAATCCAAGCTCACGAAAAAAATTTCAATATTGATGTTGGTATCTAAAGGAAGGTCTCATCACATGGAATACACCTGTCAAATTATAAGAAGGCCCTAGTACTATTACGGTGCTATACAACAATGAGTTTACTTGTGAAATTTGAAAGCCCAAGCACTTCAAAAGTTATGGCCAGGGTTAAAACTAGCCTTAAGAAGGTGATTTTTTTTTTCAAAAGTGGGTCACACTCCAAGATTAGGGTCAAGAGGTCAAATATAGAGGTACCAAAGAAGCGCCTTGTCACAAGGAATACATGCACATGTGTAAAATTAAATCAATAGCTCCTGGCTCCAACCAGTCAAAGATTAATATGAGGAAAGGTAAGGTTTTTTATGGACAAACTGACAGACGGACGAACAGGACAAAAATTATATATCCCGACTCTTCAATATAAAACGGCGGCATGCGATTAAAGTAAAATGCTAAATTGCCGCGTATGTTAAAGAAGCTCTATAAATTAACAGAAACTGCTTTTTTAACTTGGAGAAAAATATATAATATAAAAGGTGCGCATACCAGACCTTTTCAATCATTTATAACATATGGTACCTGCCTTATTTCCGTAGCAAAAAATTTCAAAGACAATGGACTATTCAAAGGCGGATCTAGGGCCGACACGCCGGGCGTGCCCCCCCCCCCCCTCCCCGTTTGAGATTTTTGTATGTAAATTTTAGT